CTGGGCACTGCCAGCCCATCTGGACCCAGAACAGGGGCTGCAGCAGAGCCTGGCACTGCTGGAGCAGTACTGTCAGACCTGGGCACTGCCAGCCCGTCTGGACCCAGAACAGGGGCTGCAGCAGAGCCTGCACTGCTGGAGCAGTACTGTGTCCTGTGTGACTCCTACTGTGTGTGTTTTTGCCAAAGTGTGAGGAGCTATCAGCATGCACTCAAATAGGGGCTATACAAAGAAAATAATAGTGTGTGTCAGTGTGTGTGTCGGGGGTCAGTGTGTGTGTGTCAGTGTGTGTTTGTGTCAGAGTGTGTTCAGGCGGTCAGTGTGTGTGTGTGTGTCAGAGTGTGTTTGGGCGGTCAGTGTGTTTGTGTGTGTCAGAGTGTGTTCAGGCGGTCATTGTGTGTGTGTGTCAGAGTGTGTTTGGGCTGTCAGTGTTTTTGTGTGTGTCAGTGTGCGTGTGTCAGAGTGTGTGTTCGGGCGGTTGGTGTGTGTGTATATCAGTGTGTGTGTCAGTGTGTGTGTTCAGGCTGTTAGCGTGCACTCGGATAGCGGCTGTACAGAGGAAGGAAGGAGAGGAAAGGGGAGGATGGAAACAGGTCGTTAGCCCCTCTCTGTAACGAGTTCCTCCACATCTCAACCCTCTTCAGCCTGAGGGCTGAGACTCTGTAGCTGGAAATAGACTGAGGTGAATTTAAACTGCCAGGGAGCCACATCAATCAGGCAAGACACAGCTGTGACTCTGACTCCCACTCACGGACACCCACTCCACCGGTGACAGTGACTCTCACCACAGACACCCACTCCACCGGTGACTGTGACTCTCACCACAGACATCCACTCCACCGGTGACAGTGACTCTCACCACAGACACCCACTCCACCGGTGACAGTGACTCTCACCACAGACATCCACTCCACCGGTGACAGTGACTCTCACCACAGACACCCACTCCACCGGTGACTGTGACTTTCACCCACAGATACTCACTCCACCGGTGACACTGGCTCTGTGGACACCCACTCCACCGGTGACACTGGCTCTGTGGACACCCACTCCAGCAGTGACTGTGGCTCTGTGGACACCCACTCCACCGTTGACACTGGCTCTAACTGGACACCCACTCCACCGGTGACACTGGCTGGTGTTTTCGGCTCTGTTTCCTCTGCTGTGTCAGTACAGCCCAATCGCAGACTCCCACCCAGAGGGCTGAGTCGATGTCCCACTCCTCGCCCCGACACAGGCCCTCTCTGCTGGCTCAGTGTAAGCATGGGTGCTGTGTGACAGGTGTGCCAGTTTCCTCCTCCACAGCGTGAAACACACCTGCTACCAGATTCAACAGCTCTTCCTGTTACAGCACCTTTCAGAACTGCTCCAGGATCTAGGAAATACAGCGATGTTAAACCCCCCCTTCATAAAGGAATCAGTTTTTCCTGGTAATCCTAAATCCTTACAAACAGCTCAAAAAGTGACATGGCTGCTCTCGCCCTCTTACGCAGACGAGACCCCCTTTAATTCCTGGCTGTGCCCCAAACAACCTGTGTGTGAGAGTGCCATCTGCTGGCTGGAGCGAGGAACTGCGGTTGAGAGACCGGGCTCAGATTTTTTTATGGAAGTTTCCCCGATCTGGTTATTTTTTGTAATTATTTGAAACATATTATCAACCTGCCCCACTTTCGTGTGAGCTGTGAGAGAGAAAATCACCCGTAGCGTGTAGAGTGTGACTTTTAACTATCCCTGAATGACAAAATATCCATCTGGCACAAACTGTACGAGACACACTACTGCCCCCCGCTGTCCGGAGGGTGTCAGGGGCGTGACAGACAGCAGGGGGACACACAGAGG